TTCCTTCCCAGCGTGGTAACTGAGTTCACTGAATACAAGTGTCAGAGTGTGAACAGTTTGGCTATCAAGTTCATTCTTCTGTTGGCCCAAGCAGAGAAGGTGTGACTTGTTAAAATTTCCCTGAACATCTAGGAACCAAATGATCAGTGCGAGCACTTCCTTGAATAAGCGTGAGCTATCGTGTGTCCATATGTAGTAGCTTAAGTAGCTAGGAGCTTACTCCCTTATTATATACTTACATAAGTAGGAGCGGGCCAAACAAGACAACAATCCCCTTGCAGAAGCTGCTCTGAGGAGTGATGGCGCTTCTAGGGAGCCACTTCCAGGTGGCCATGCTTCGTTTCTGCCGAGCCCTCCATGTCACTGACTTGAGATGCCGAGTTTGCATCTCAGGCGGGGACCAGGTCGAGGGTGTGTTTACATCTCAGGATGTTGGAGATAGCCCAATCACTGGAGGAGCCAGATCACTGGTTACATACTGTTGATGGCAGACATGATGGAGTGACCAACAGCACATGCAACCGTCTCTTCATTGAGTGACCTCCCAAGGCTCCAAGGTTTGCATCACCGAAGCAGAGCTTCAGCTGGATGTGGCTTGACAAGAGAAGGGCCTCAGATATCCTCAGATTCAACAAGCTCCTCAGAGATCCCACAACACTGTTCTTGGCCATGCACACAAACCACTTCACAAGCATAACTTGGGTGTGGTATAGGGCACAATCAAAGGGCTTTCCGCATTTTGATCCACCAGAAAGAGCCATGATGCCACGTGGAAGGTGTGAGGTTCACTCACGCCTGGCTTGGGCTTTGAGTGCGTCAGAAAGGTTTCCTCCTGACGATTCTGTTTTGTGTGGGCGTCCCGTGACCGTGTCCACTTTCTTACATTTTCTTACCACATAACTTTTTCTGAGTTTGTTTTCAACTGCTCATTTTTTAATGTTTTCTGAACAGATGCTTTAGAGATCCAGTTGCCGAAAAAGAGTCCACTCAAACAGCTGCACAGCAGCACCCTCTTCCAATCCAACATCATTCAGTCTAGAGTCTAGACTAAGTCATTCCACCTCTGAAGCTTTTCCTCAAGCAGTTCTTTTGAAAAGCACTCTTCCCACAATCTTCACCGAACCAAGGAGACCGCGGGCTACCTCTGCCAGGATCGCTGGGGCGCTTGCCGCTTTCCTGTTGGCTTTGGGCGACCCGAGCTGCCAGAGGAGAGGCAGGTGCACCAACTGGATGCGCGCACAGGAGAGGCGACTCCAAAAATGGTGAACGGTGGTCAAGCGGCATTCAGCTGCAAGTTGACGAAGATTGTGGCCACAACTGGAACCGATAATGCAGTATGGAACATAGTTATATAGATTTGGTGGTTGTTTCACATGTTGATTCGCTCAACTGTCCGTGTGGTCCCTGCAGCCAAATCCTTGCTGCAGGAGCCTCGTTGAAATTTACCCTCCTGAACCGGCAGGGACGAGTTTGGACCCTGATCGCTGGTGGTGGTGCAAGTGTAGCTCCTGGTTCAAACGAGATGTTTTCTTATATATATATATATATAATTGATTATAATTGAACAATCGCTGACAGGCCAATCCTGTGATTTCATAAGGACCTTATGGGTCATCGAGACAGCTGCTTCTGTGCAAACACCAGGGGTCGTGAGGCACTCCGGGAGTTCGTTCTCCGGGCGGAACAAAGGTTTACACCGACACCATTTGTGAGTACGGCTTCGCGAAAGAGCTGGCCAACTATGGTGAGTACTCCGGGGACCCTCCCGAGGAGCTTCCACACAAGCGCAGCAAATGAAGAGAGCTTCTGCATGCCTAGAACTGCCGATCTACCCTACCGTGCCTCCTGCATCGAACTTGTTGCGCTCCAGGAGTTTGTCTACGAATACACCAAGATCATCTTGAGCGTGATGACATCCTCACCGGAACCATACGGGAAGGTCAATTTCGGGATTCCTTCTGGTTGGTTCAGCACATCACAGCTCTAGGTCTGGATCAGCCTGGAATTATACAGTTTCAAAAGAAGAATCATCAGCTCAGTTGATCAACATGCATGGTAAATTATGGCGGCAAATACTTGTATGGCTGAGTCACTCGGATTGAGTTTTGGACCTTCTCTAGTCATCACGCGGAAGAGTCCGGACGAGTTGGGCAGGTGCTCTTGATCGGCGGGGGTGTGGCCAACTTTACAGATGTGGCGAGCACCTTCAAGGGCATTGCTGCTCGAACGGAACATCTGTCAACACAGACCGTCCAAACGAAGTGAAGGTCAACACAGACCCCTTAGACAGTTAGGAATCAAGAATATTTACAATGCATGGCCGTGCAAAACAACGAACATTTGGTAAGATTCAAGACAAATTCAAGAGCTCACCTGTTGGCATCAACTGGCCAATTGCATAAATGATCATAAATGAAAGGTCATTCGCCTGAGCATGTTCGGCAACTTGCTTTTTGTTTACGTTCCGTGAACAATGAATTTCATGGCTCATAATGGCTCAATGTGCGGGCTATGTTCTTTTGGAGGGTAGTGTGGAGGGCTCCAAGCCACAGCTGTAGATGGCGACGTGGCGCCGAGGTGAAGGCCCTGAAAGAGTTCGGTGCCGCCTTGCGACTTGGTGGTTCTACTGAGACGTCCATCCTCCCCCAAATAGGCCCGGGAGGATCCAGGAGCAGGATGGGGGGCAAGAGGCAAGATCCAAAGCGCTCACAAAAACCCATGGATTCTCCGTTCCAAACAGTGGATGCGTTTCACACGGTGGATGTTCGCGCCTGCGAACACTGGGGACCGTTCGGGTCTGAGGAAAGCCTGTGGCACCACCGTGTGGGTGCGTCGTGGTGGGCCGAACTACGCCGAAGGGCTCGCCAAGATGAAGAGCGCCTGTGAGGCGAGTCGCGTCGCGGAGTTCGGGTTGGGAACACATGAGAGAACCTAGTAGCGTCCTTGCTCCTGATAGTAAGGCCAGGAGCCCCTGTCCTTGTTACTAGTAGCGATGCGAGCCCCTAGTAGCGTCCTTGCTCCTAGTAGCGATGCGCTTGTTACTAGTAGCTTCTTGTTCCTAGTAGTAGTTCCAGGAGCTACTAGTAGCGGGGTTTCTGGGAGCCCGGGACCTGAGGTTTGGCATCCAAGAGGGCGTCTATTGGGGTTAATGGATGTTGACGAGTGCTGCAGATCTATTCACATGCATTTGCCACGAAAGGAGTGCATTTTTTGACCGTACATGGCTGTCAAGTCTGAAGCCAACAATTCCGAATGTTCAGCGAATCGCTTGTGGGTTGTTGAGCTCAGCTACTCCGGGGTGTCTCAGAGATCATAAACCTCTCAGGTCAGCCCGGATCGTCTGAAGGATGGTCATATATCTCATGATTCTGCCAGGAGATCGGCATTCCAGCGCAGGTCTATGGTCCTGAGGCCACCTGGAATTGGAAACAGAGATGGAGAACCTGGTGGACCTGGGTTGGCGGATCGGGGTGGGTACTGAGACCATGACAAGGATCTTGGTACGATATGGTACGATCTCCAGATGGACCTTTAGAAACCCATCAAAACAATCCATCAAATCGCTGCTCTAAATCAACAGTAATCAGCGTCCAAAAGCCTGCTGCAGAGCTCTCCCAGAACCTCTTTTTCCTACAAACCTCAGTCAGCTGCGAATTGGAGTCCAACATAACCTTCTATCATCTTCAATCCATACCCATCCTCAGCTCTCCCACTCCCAAGGCGCACCTCACCTCCATCGTCCGCGATGCCCTGGCAGCACAGAAGGGCGCCGTGCCCCCTGCTATGCCGGAGCCAGTGGTGAAGATTCCGGCCGGAGCTGTGCGGGGAGGAGGGATAAAGGAGAGATAAACCGTGAATAGTTTCTTTGACACATGACATGAAGTCAGCTGGTTGGAAGTGTTTCCAAGGGGACTTTCAATTGGGAGATTTCCTGTAGGATCTGTAGAGGCGGAGTCTTGCAAGAGCTGCGCTTGAATCACAACAAACTTACTAAGTGGTTCTCTGGCGTTATAGAGGTACCAGGGACTCCCATAGTCCCATAGCAAGACGTACGGTATGTATCAAAAGGATTCAACAGGCATCGCTGAACCGGACGCCGATGTATCTATTCCTTGCCAGGGCTTTGCATATCATGAGTGAGCGGTACTGTAGGCGTTGGTTCTCCTTTTGCAAGTAAAAAACGGCGCCTTGTTTGCTTCTCTCCAGAGAGCCAGGCTGGTGGTGCCACAAAGCCTGCAGCATGCCAGCATCTCATGGAATTCTCCGCAGAGACGCAGGCGTTCGTCTATGGCATGCAAGTGAAGGCTGTGCAAAGAATGCTGGATTTTGATACACTCTGTGGTCGCAAGACCCCCAGTGTAGCTGCCATGATCAACCCCACGGGAGAGGCGACCTTTGAAAAGTTCCTCTTTGGTTCTGCAGATGTCTTGATTCCAGTCTATACCTCTTTGGCAGAGGCTGTGGAACGTCATGGCAAAGCCCCTAAGATGCTGGTGAGTTTCGCCTCCTTCCGCTCCGTCTTCAGTGCCACCATGGAAGCTCTGCAATTTTCGGAGGTCATCAAGTCCCAGGCCATCATCGCTGAAGGCGTCCCCGAGGCCCTCACACGACGCTTGCATTTTGAGGCCAACCAACGTGGAGTGGCGATCATTGGACCGGCCACCGTGGGCGGGATGATGCCTGGCCGCTTTCGAATTGGCAATGCGGGTGGAGCCGTGGAGAATTTGTTGTTGGCCAAGCTCTATCGGCCGGGCTCGGTAGGTTACACGACCAAGTCCGGTGGGATGCTTCACCTTGAAATAGATCCTTTTTGGTTGATTCATTTGCGATTTGATGGTTTTCAAAAGCTTGACAAATGAAGATCGTGCTTTTCAGGGTTGAATGTGCTCTCCCTCTCCTTCTTCCTCTCTCTGTGTTGCATTTGGGACTCCAGATGAAGTTGAACAATCAGTTGAAGATCTAAGGATGTCCAATGAGCTCAATAATATTGTTGCCCTCAATACGGATGGTGTGAGAGAGGGTATCGCGATTGGTGGAGACCGATGGCCTGGAGTCCGCTTCCTGGATGTTTTATTGCGTTTTGAAGCAGATCCGATTCTGGGCGAGGTTTAAGAGATGACTGTGGGTCAAACAACACCCGAACCTACTAAAAGCATCCAAAAGCTACCTGAAACATCGTTGCTTGACCTTTGTGCTAGTGGTTCATTCTGTTCATTCCGGGCTTTGACTCACAGCCCAAGCGCTTTTGTGAGCCGACCAGTTGATGTTTTGTGGATTCGTCCACAAACGGTCGAGCCCCGAAAACATCAGGAACATCAAGATGATGGTCCTTCTGGGGGAAGTGGGTGGTCGCGAAGAGTATTTGGTGGCCGAGGCTCTTGAGGACGGGAGACCTGTTGGCTAGAAAACCTTTAAGCACAAAAGAGTTCACTCAATCTTCCTTCCAAAGCTAGCTAAACCACTGGCTCCACTGGCTGGCCAACCGGCCATTGACTGCTTCAGGATGGACGCCTCACGAAGCCGCTCGTGGCCTGGTGCTGTGGCACGGCGGCCGAGGCCTTTGATTACGAGGTGCAGTTTGGCCACGCTGGGGCGCGCGCGCGGGATGTGGAGGAGACGGCGGGTGCGAAGAACCGCGCGATGGCCAAAGCAGGCACAGGGGAGGTGAATGCGTGTGACAGGTTGCATGTGGTTGCATCCATTTTGATGGAAACTGGATAGACAGAATGGAATGTAAGAATATCGTTAGGCAAGTTGAAACCATGGGAATCTTCACACACTGGCAAATGATGTTTGAGTGGAATTCATGCCAGAATACCTGTTTCTCAAACGTGTGCCTTTTGCGAGGTGCCCACGTACCCCGGAGCTTCGATGAGTTCGGGGATCTGATTGCTGCTGTTCACAAGGCGTTGGTGAAGGCTGGAGCCATTGTCGTGGCGAATGAGCCACCGGTGCCCAAGTTGCCCAGCGATTACGATGCACTGAAGAAGAAGGGCCTGGTGAGGAAGCCGGCAAATTTTGTGTGTTCCATTTCGGATGATCGTGGGCCCGAGCCAACGTATGCTGGTGTTCCTATCTCTGAGATTGCCAAAGATGAGCAATTGGGAGTTGGAGGGGCCATTTCCTTGCTTTGGTTCAGGCAGGGTTTGTGAAACCCAACAGTATGACACATGAATTACACAATGGAGCGTTGGTTCATAAGGTGTCGAAGGTCGGGGGTCTGGATCAAGCTGTGAGAAAATGAACCCAACACTATATTTATATATACTATATATATATATGTATGAGAACTATATGACATCATATGATATATATATATGACAAGGACTATAAGTATAAGTATATGATAGCATATGCTCACCCCACATGACTTGGTACCTTTTTTCTGCGTTTGCGATTGGGTCGCTGCTGGTCCACTGTTTTGTTGGACAAGGGCCACAGAAGCGAGAGTGGGCAGATCATGGCGGTGACGAAGTATATCTATATAACTATATATATATACATATCTACATACGTGTTGAACACACAATGTGGCAAAGTGCTTGCACTGGAGGAAGAGTTGCACGCATGTATCACTAGAGGCGGAAGTTGCCGGTCTATGTATCCAAGTTTATCGAGCTGTGTGCCTTGGAAATGTCATCCGCAAGGGTGCAGGTTTCAAGACAGACATGGGGCGGTGGATAGGGGCATAGGATGGTTGAAGGGAGTCCACACAAATCTGCTACCTTGTGAACACGTTTCAAGCATTGTGCCACAGTGAGCCCGCCACGCCCAAAGAGCAACAGCTGAGTTAAGCCTCAATCTTTGTGTGAATTAAAGTTCAGTGTGCAGCTTCCAGAATCTAAATCTAGGACCTAGGAGTCAAAAGTGTCGTTTTCATTGGTTCCTCCCAGGGTGTGGCAAACCTGGCAGTACCGAGGCATTGTGACCACAGCAGACCATGGCCCTTGCGTTTCGGGGGCCCACAATACCATTGTGGCCGCACGTGCGGGCAAAGACCTCGTGTCCTCCTTGATTTCTGGCCTCGCCACCATTGGCACCGCGGTCTTAAATAGCAGTACCTTTTTGCTGGGTTTTGATGGTGGGAGCGGGTGGGAATGGTTGAAGATGGCTCAAGGGAATCGAGGGCCAGCGTTCTTTCTTTGGATTTGCTTCACGATTCTGGGCCATCATCTTTTTGGGTGTTCAACTGTTCAACCATTTTCCGGCAAACAACGTCCTTTTCGACGATCTTCGAAATAGGTTCTGGCCTAATGTGTTCACCATTTCTTTTTGGCATTGGCCGGTTGTGATCCAATCCCGAGCGGGACGAGGACCGCGCTTCGGCGGCGCGCTGGACGAGGCGGCACGGATGTTCAGTGAGGCGCTGGACCGCAACTGGTCACCGGAGAAGTTTGTGGAGAAATGCAAGGAGGTGTCTTGGATGTCCAAGTTGATCCAAAAACATAACAGGACAAGTGTTTTCCTAATTGCTATTAGGTTAGAGGCCATCGCTCTTAGGGGGGAGGCCATCGCATTTAGGTTGGAGGCCATTGTTATTAGAAGGCCATTATGAGTGGAAGCCGTCAATGACAGTCAATGGAAGCCGTTAATTTTCAGGGTCATGATTGAGTCATCACTCCACGACCCAGGTGGGTATACAAGGAGGTCGGGTCTACAAGAATCACTTTTAATTGTTTACACTGCCTACCGGCCGTGGAACAAGAGTATAGTCGACTACACTTGATCCACACGTTGAATTCGCCCCAACTAGTGGTTTGCAGAGATTGTTTCAAGTGCCGCACCTGTGTTTGGTGTGGAAGCCTGGCGCACCACCAGACAATGTTGGTGAGTCCCACAAGTTGAAAGACAATAAGGGAGTTTGTAAGTTTGTATCAGGGCTTACCGTACCAACATGGGTTTCAAGGCAAACAGATTAGAATTTCTTGCAGACTCCTGTGAGGAATGCAAAAGACTGTCCTAAGCTGAAAACGCTCGGTGCTTTTCTCGGGAACTGTTCTCTCCTTTTGCGGATGCTGAATCCAAGGAGAAGACCGTGCCTCGGAAGAGAGTATGTTCACCACATTTCATCACATTGGGAATAACAGGAAGTGGGATTGCTGAGAAACCCGAATTGACTTTTGCAGTAATCTCTTGGATTTGGGTTCCAGTTTTACTTTAATTTCCACATTGGTCTTCAACGGAATTTCCTTTGGCTTCTTCAACCGGCCTAGGGGGAGGGCATAATCACGATGTAGAGGAGGAATGGTGTTCATGCCAACAGTCGTCCGAGGCCAACGTGCGGCCAGCAGTTCTTGAGTAGCTGCCTCTCAACACGGAGTGAAAACTGCGGGAATCTACAATTAATTGAAATTTCATAACATGCCACTTGTTTCACCCGGATTTGAATGACTACTCTTCCTATTGCTAAAGGAAGCAGCATCCCAACATGGTGGAAATCTCAACTTCTAAATAGCTGGTTTTGCTGGTAGTAAGATCCTGTTTCATGAATATAGTGGACGGCGAACATGGGGCGGGTGTTGTATGCCACACGGTCAACTGAAGTAGTATCCCATGGCCGCCGCCGAGTCAACTGGCTATTGCCTTGCGTTCCGAGGTGATCATGGGCATTGGACACAGTTGCTTAGCAGAAGGTTAATGTTGAGCTTTCCCGACTTTACTCGTGCCGGTTCTTCTTTGGTAGAGTTGTTTCACACTCCAACCTTGACAATTTGACAGTCACTGCCCTGAATGTGAAAGTGAGCACCAATTTAGAACCCACCCTGCGATCACGATATTGTTAAACGAGAAACTCAGTTGTGATCATTGATCCTGTGATCTCGGGGTGCCATATCCTGTCGGTTTTGTTTCTGCTTCACTGGTCTTTCTTGAATTTTGATCCCAAAGGCGCACGTTGCTAAGGAGTCAAATCCTTGGACAATCCAGACGCAAGAGTGGTCCTGATCAAGGAATATGCGACTTGACAAGATTTAGAGCACTCACGATGCTTCACTTTCGTACTAATGTTTCTTTGACACAGACCATGACATCTCAGGCTAAGACGCATTTTCCAGCCACCCCGCTCTTGGACTTTGCTTTGGCAGTGGAGCAGATCACAACCAAGAAGAAGGCCACAGGGCGTTGCGTCAGGAGACTAGTAACAAGGACGCTACTAGGGGCTCCTGGCCTTACTACTAGGAACAAGGACGCTACTAGGAGGTGTGGCTCTGGTTTTCAACAAGACCCTACCAGTGACCCTACGGACGACCTGATGCGGAGACTCCAACTGTATGACCTCCCTGGGTCTGATTGACGCCTCAAACGAGTGCCTCTGCTACTAACTCTTTTCCACACCGCACTCGACAGGTGTCTTGTTCCAATACTTGCAGCTCAGGGCAGTACTATAGTTACTAGTTTGTGCATGTTGGTGCTGTTTGCCACGTCAATCACAGCATTTTGTCTCTTCAGCTCAGGCCAGCCTGATTCTCAACGTTGATGGCTGCATAGCTGTGTGCTTTGTCGACCTGCTTCGTGGTTGTGGGGACTTCTCCAGGAGCCAATTCAAGTTCGCTGCACTGAGAGCTATGTTTTCAGTACCGCACATTCGGGTCCATTTTGCTGCGCTCGACACTCTTCGAACTCTCCTTCCCAAGCACTGCAAACTGGTTGATGCTCGGTGCTTCTTCTTTAGGAACGGTGTTTCGAATGGTTTTGCCCTGGAAGGAGTGAGGCAGATGAACTGGTCAAAAACGGTGTGCTCAATGGGCTCTTCGTGGCTTCACGGACTTTGGGCCTTGTGGGACATTTCCTGGACCAGCGTCGTTTGAAGCAACCTCTCTATCGATGCTTGGCTGACTGAGTGAGAGAGAGAGAGAGAGAGTGAGAGAGAGAGAGAGAGCGAGAGGGAGAGGGAGAGGAGTTTAAGAGGAGTCTCAGCAGCATCCGGCAACTCTCGCACACCAAGATAAATAGGCCTGTTAGCAGCGAGTTGTGCGAATCAATGGCCTTTGTTCATGGTGCCCAGGCCATCCTTACGATGACGTCACTTACCTAGACTCATAGAACCTCATAGACCGCAGTCCTCAGGCGTGGAGAACTCTGTAGACTCTTTTTTAGATGCTACGTTTGCAGAAAGTGAGAGATATTCCAGGTATCCACAAGCCAGCTAGAAATTGAATGAAATTGACACATCAAGAAGTATTCTTTTGACATGTTAGCCGCTGATCTGTTCCCTTCGGTCAGGTGCTGCCAGTTTTCCGGTGAAAAGCAGCGCAGACTGAACTGAAGCCTCGCCATTTGCTGGGAAGCTTGTCGTTTGGCTAGGATCGTTTTTTCATTGGAATAATAGGGAGACCATACGAATCCCTCCGACCACTGGGCAGTTTCGGTGGATTTTTCTCTGCCCGCGAGTGATATAGGAGGTCTCCCTAACACAAATGTAGCGTCGTTGGAATTGAGAGTGCTGCACATGTTGGAAGATGGGTTTTCTTGAATTCGTTGCCGTCAAGTGAGCTTTTAGCCGACAAACAGGCAAAATGAGTTGTGAGGCAGCGACCGCCAGACGACAAAGCATTCGCAATCCGACGGCAATCACACTCATCAAGCTTGCTCTCAGATTCAAAGGGCTATGCTATACAAAATCACTTTTGGCCATCACTCCTCACTGATAGAACTCCCGACATTTTGAGAATCTCTAGACAGTGCTTTCCGCACCATGGCCATCAGCGAAAGCGCAAACCTGCGCAAGTGTCATTTGGCCACCTGGCAGGATGAGGAACCAGGTGGGGGGACCCTGCACTGATTCAAGTATGATGACAAAAGAAAGATTCAAACAAGCACACGACACACCAGAACAGATGAGTGTATAATCATGTGTTTGACAACGCACCAGCAACAAAGTCAATATTTGTGTATGACCGCTCCCTCCTTTTAATGTTCAGTTCATATACAAAGTAGACACAACGAGAAAGGACTTGCGCACGGTATTCTGTGATGTATTGTGTTTTTTCTTTTGATAAAGTTCAGCAACCTAGAGGTATGTTATGAGATATGAGTGACCGTTTGTGCGCGGAGAGGTACAGTGCTGGAGGACTCCGTGAACAGGCACAAGAACCCCCTGGCAGATCAATTCCCAGAATCTTAGTTGACAATTCTTCTCAAAATACGATTCTGCAGATCAACATCCAATAGCTCGTAGTAGAATGTGGCAGAGAAACAATCCTTATCCTTGCTGTTGGAATCCTGTTGGATTTTCTCCGAATGCACTGAGGATATGTCTTTCTTGAACTCTCTGGAGATGGTGCGGGAGCCGAGAAATCGCGCTCCAGGGAGTTGATAGTAGCCTCTTGCTCCTAGTAGTAAGGCCAGGAGCCCCTAGTAGCATCCTTGTTACTAGTAGCGATGCCCTTTGCTCCTAGTAGCTTCTTGTTGCTAGTAGCTGTGGCAGGGGATGGCATTGAAGATCATGAAGACATACACTTTGACTCACTAACATGGAGGTGGAAACCACCCTGTCCGTAGAAGAGAATTAATAGTTTTCCCAAAGGTCCGTTTTCACGTCCACGTTAGTGATGCGGAGGATAGTTGAATGATGGATGTGATCCGCTATCTGAGTCTGGGTGAAGGCTCTGAAATAGGTGACAACATAAAACCTTCTTGCCCTAGGTGCTGCGCGGAGAAATGGAATCCAAAAACCTTCACCACTAGCTCCAAGCCCAAGAAGACCGGCTCGCTGCTTTCGGCGGGCGAATTCGCAGGTCCTTGGGAATATCATCCAGAATGCGCAGCAAACCCCGCGTGCGAGCCAGCTCTTAGAGTCTGGATGTCTCAGGGCCAATGCGGCGCGGCATATTTTCTGGGACCCCAGCAAGGTGGGCAGACTCGGTGCAGCTGGGGTGAAGGGGGGGGGTTTGGGCTATGGCAAAGTCTTGGGAGGTGTAAGGAAAGCCGAGGGAAGACGATTCTTATCAGGTAGCCACAGGAGCTGACTGATTGGTTGAGTAATTGGGACATGACGTCAGGTGAAAGCTGCAATTGTGACCTGCGGAGGGCTTTGCCCTGGCTTGAATTCGATCATTCGCGGCGTCACCAAGTGCCTGTGGAATGATCCTTGGCGGAATGTGTCAGGTGAAGTTCAGAAGTTCACTTCGAGTACAGTATATATATATATTATTTATATATATATATATGATTTAGACTCCGAAACAGCACCCAACATGCACCCATGTACCATGAACATCCATGAATTATTTAAGGGCTGCCGCCCAGTGCCGCCGACCCCAGGAAGGGAGACAAAAGAGGTGTGGGGCGGACAGAAGGCATGGAACACATGGGGACACCGCGGCGTGCTGCACCGGCTATGTGGAATCC